CCCAACTCAATCAGAGCAGCTGAGTCCTTAAACATCTTCAAGAAACGACTAAAAACACATCTGTTCCACCTTTATTTTACCCTCTAACTCTCTGTTCTAATTCTATTCTTTAAAAAAAGAATGCACTACTCATTTACTAACTGCTTGTTTTCTTAAAAAAAAAAAAAAACTAGCTTCTCTAATCTTTTTATATTCCATCTATTCGTTTTCTTTTTATTTATTATACAATTAATAAAAGCAAAAAAAGCTTCTAACACTAGCTTGCTCTATTCTTCTTCTATTCTGTTTTCTTTTTATTATATAATAAAAACTAAACAAAACCAAACAAAAAAAAAACCTTGCGACGTGTACTGCATTAAACTAACTGAGATTTGTTATAGCACTTGCATATCTTTGCTTTTTTGTTTATATTGATTGCTTCCATTGTTCTAATTTCTAAGTTGCTTTGGATAAGTGTATATATACACACACACAACCATAACTAAAAGTATATATATAAAAGTATATACATACATACATATGTGTGTGTGTATATATATATACACACACATATACATATATACACACACACACACAGTATATAAGTCAGTATATATAGCCAATGGAGATTCAACTGCCAAGGTGTACGTAGAGGGTTGAACAGCCATGTTACATTCCACGATTTTGAGACTCAACGCCCCCCTTCCATCACTGACAGGTGTTGCTGCACTGGCGGCTGAGATGGGGGTGGGGTAAGATTCACTAAAACGCACACTCGCGTTATCACACTCCTGTGCACGGCGAATGATTAAGGAGTCTTAAAAGACAAATATTTGCACTCTTTCCCTGCAAATCAGTGCTGTGTGCAAAAGCACACACTGTAATGGCGGTAAAAGAGCACATAATATTTAAAGCAGGCAAAAGGCTGAGCGGCAAAATTCAGTCGCAATGAACAATGCAAACACTTATTGCTGTAGGGTCAGGACGAGAACGGCGCTGAGAGCACAGATGCAGTCTGTTGAGTCCACACCAGGCTGCATGAGAAAGAGAGAGGGCCGCAGCACAAGCATGGCCATGCAAACAATGCCATTCATTCAGCGCTCATTTCTCCTCTGCTTCACCCCCCTCCCAAACCTTCTCTCGCTCTCCGTCCCTTGCCATTTCACCCCCCACATGGTCCTCACACGGTCTCAAGGAGAGGGGGGGAAGGGTGGGTGCATGATAATACAGCTGCACCACACCCTGCCTCCTGCTTGGCCAACACACACAAACACACACATGCTCAAGCTGCAAGGACACGCACCAGACATGGCAAAAAAAGAAAATCACGCCTGCTTCTGGCACCACACCCATGTGAATTACTGCATCTTCGAGGCGACACACACACATAACATCAAACAGGTACATGTAGGTCCAAACCTTGCATCATGAAATCCACGCGCCGGTCTTCTCTCCCCTCCTCTCCTTCTATCGCTCTCTCTCTCTCCACCCTTTACAATCAGTGTCAGGCTGTTTCTGCCTGGCAGACTCCCATCTCCCATGTCATCCACACTGGCCCCTCCCCCACGGCGACGGGCCAATCAGATGCCTGGGCTTCGAGCACCGGCCAATCAGCACGAACCTCTACGGCATTGACAAGCAGCACTAGAGGCAGTTAGGCAGTTGTTGTTTTTTAAAGAGACAGAGTCTCGTTCTGCTCACATCTACATGACCCCGCTCTTCTGAAGAAACACCGCGGTTATCCTCGTCACCCGTCCCCCTCCGCCTCTCTCTTTTGCCGTCACTTGAATAAATATCACTGCCATCTGCAGCTGTAGCCGTAAAAATGCATTTAAATATTAGGAAAAAGATCAGCAAGATATATATATATATATATATATATATATATATATATATATATTTTTTTTTTTTTTTATAAAGGCTTTTTGCAATGCAAAAATCGTACTCTCGGTGCAAATGACACACTAAATATTCTCACAGGATGTTATCTGCATACAAAACGACTCGCTTTGCTTAATAGAAAGGTTTGACCCGAGGCAACTGCTGATGAGACTTGCAACAGACAGCCAAACTGCTGCTTACAATCTCTATGCAAATTGCTTAACGGCACAAGACACTCTGCCTATTTGAATTAGCATTTAAAATGCCACAATTAAGCAATAACATACAATAGGCTGTGCCATATGGTTAACAATGTCATTGCAAAGGGCACAACATGAGCCAAGGATGGAAATCGAGAACCATTTCCATTTTGTCTTTTGCTCTTGAACGACTGCCTTCAGCCAATGTGGAATTATGTATTCTTGCATTCAGCAAATGCTTAATTCTCATCTTTAAATACAGCACAACCTTTTAGGCCTTATGGCTTTCATAAAATGGTTACCCCAGTAAAAAAAAAAGTGTGTGTGTGTGTGTGTGTATATATATATATATATATATATATATAAGGGACACAAATTAAAACTCCTAACAAGCAAATTTAATAAGCATCATCCAACTGCCAGAACAGAGTTGTAACTGTTATAAAATCTCAATACAAAGCAACAGATCTTTTCTTCTGCATTTTGACGTATATCGGATTATCGAAAAGAAGAAAAATTATAGGGCGGGAACTTGGTTTTTAGATGTGGGACAGATGAAGGCAAGATTGCAAGAGCAAGGGTTTTTGCGGCCTACAGATGATTGGGAGACCCGGTCATTCAGATTAAAAAGTTAATTTTGTTTTTTTTTTTTTAATTAACATGCATTGATGCTTTAGATTACTGATGTTATTGTGAACATGTCATTTAGAAAACAGAGTGTGAAATTATTTAATTCCATGCAGATTTTAAGTAATCATATGGCCTGCAAAAAGGTTTGCCCAATTTGTTTATTTTAACAGGTAATTTTAATGCCATTTATACCAACTGCAAAGTTGCAGGGCATGCAAATGCAGGCCAAAACCTGAAAAATCACAACACGCAGTTTCAAATTTTCCCAAACTGCAACTTGATGCAGAATTACATGCATGTAATACTGTATACAGTATTCATCTAAAAGTCTTAATGTAATGCCAAATAAATACTACACATTTCACGAATCCTATCATACAACTACCCACCAAACACTAGGGCCATAAGGATCTATTTAAATTTTAGCGAGCAAGTCTAAAATCATCTACATCTGTGGCGTCAGAGTTCCTCTTTGATGATGAGTAGTTACACCTGCCAAAAACATAAAAGGGACTGCAATATACAGCCTGCCCCCCTGTGCTCATTACACACCTCCAAATGAGCATCTTTATGAGTTAAGACTACATCTGCCAAATCTAAAGAACTAGCTTTCCCTAGATTGTATTAAAGTGTCAAATGGACAGCAGTTCCATTCATTCAGTAGTAATGAGCTATTTAATACAGTACACACAGGCACTGGTTTTTACTAACAGCAGTTTGAGCCGCTTGTGTCGCTGCACACAGACAGGAAGGAGAAAAGACAAGAAAACAGAGCTCAAACTGTCTCGCATCTTCTGTGCCTGCCAGACAAACATGCAAGAAGCAACCATATCACCCATCCATCACTCAATGTCTGCTAGTTCACAGAAGACGTCCTCTTTGATGATGAGTAGTTACACCTGCCAAAAACATAAAAGGGACTGCAATATACAGCCTGCCCCCCTGTGCTCATTACACACCTCCAAATGAGCATCTTTATGAGTTAAGACTACATCTGCCAAATCTAAAGAACTAGCTTTCCCTAGATTGTATTAAAGTGTCAAATGGACAGCAGTTCCATTCATTCAGTAGTAATGAGCTATTTAATACAGTACACACAGGCACTGGTTTTTACTAACAGCAGTTTGAGCCGCTTGTGTCGCTGCACACAGACAGGAAGGAGAAAAGACAAGAAAACAGAGCTCAAACTGTCTCGCATCTTCTGTGCCTGCCAGACAAACATGCCAAACATTCAAGAAGCAACCATATCACCCATCCATCACTCAATGTCTGCTAGTTCACAGAAGACACCGACAGTATTAACAGAGCCAGATGATTCACTCAAGGTTTACACACATAAAATAATAAATCACTACTCTATAAATACTTGTAAAAGAACACATTTAGGACAATACATACGTGTTGAATTAAAGTAAATCGGATTAACTACAGTGGCAAATTCATATTTACAAAGACTAAAGACTAAGCTAAAGGCTTAAAATGCAATGCTTTTCAGGCCTGTGCATCTGAAAGCCAAGACTACACTGTCATCAGTGCACATTAAACCAAAGCTATAAATGATTTTTATCATCAAAAAAATATATCTCGACTTAAATGAACCAACAGGTGTCTGCGGTTAACTGATAACCATACAACGCCCACTTTCCACAACCCAATCAATTTCCAGATAAAATCAAGTCCCACCCTAAATGTTGTCCTCGAGTTTCTCTTTTCACATCATGCCACATTATGGATGTGAAGTGGTGCAAACGATGAGGTTAAAGAGACCTGGGTTGCTGATATTCATTACCATCTATTTTTATCCATCTCATCTGATTGCATTAGTCTTATCTTCTCACCTTCACAGATGCGGTCCAGTCTCTGCCGCTTCACTTTGTGTTTGTCCATCAGAGCCATCGACTGGCAGTTCTTCAGTAAGACCAGCTACGGCCACAACACGACGAAAGAGGGGGCACAGCACAGAGATCAGTCCAGAAACCACCCAAATCCTTAAAACACCTGCAACGATTAATTCCACATGTTAAGATTCAGACCTAAAGCGCTCTGAATTACCAATCACACCACATCCGGTTATCATGCCAAGTGCATTTCATCAAGAGTAAAATACCACTACTTATGGGAAAGGTTACCAATCACCCACATAAGTGACTGATACTGAGAAATAGTGCTGGGAAAATGTCAAACAACGAAATTACCCACCTGATGACGTCAAAGCCAATCAAGTACTCCGCTGATGTCACGGTCTTAATAATGGCAGCTGAAGAGGAAGCAGCAGCAAATCTTAGCATTAGTCGTAAACAAGAACAGAGCGTAAGAATGTTTTTTATTAAAGGGGTCATATGATGCGATTTCAATTTTTCCTTTCTCTTTGGAGTGTTACAAGCTCTTGGTGCATAAAGAAGATCTGTAAAGTTGCAAAGACTAAAGTCTCAAATCCAAAGAGATATTCTTTATAAAAGTTAAGAGTCAACCACGCCTACCTAAAACGGCTCGTTCGAACATGCCTGCACATGTCTACATCACTATGTGGGAAGATTTGCATAACGCCGCCCAAATGTTCACGCAAAGAAAGAAGGCGTAACTTTTATTCTCGCTGTAGTATTGTTGACGCTGCAGCCATGTCGTGAAGACGCTGTGTGCTTCGTTGTGAAAGCGAAACTACTTTGTTTGGTCTTCCAAAAGAGGACGATATCCGCTTCGTCATGCCTAGAGCTGATCCGTGCTGGTCGCTGAGGAAATACATCAATTTTCACTGTGGACGAAGCGGAATCCTGCCCGGGGTCCATCACATGTGGTTGCCACTCATTAGTCGGATCTCGACCCCGCCACCTCAGCTCTCTCTATCCCGGCCTCAGCTCACTCTCTCTAGCCCGGCCTCAGCTCACTCTCTCTATGTCTCAGCTCACTCTAGCCCGGCCTCAGCTC